TCCTGGGTCCAACAACAGTATCTTCACCACTAAATCATCCTTCCACCTTTAATTTAGCTTCTTTTCTCTGTATTTCAAAAATCTTCCTTATAGTAATCCTGCATGGTATATGTCAGCCACTCCCGGACTTCTTACCTCTGGGGTTGTAGGCGATGGAGAAGGCAGAGACCTATTAGAGTCTCCAGCTCATCTATCAAACATAAGAAAGATACTTAGAAAGCAAAAGAAACTTGCAGTCTGTTAATGGGATTTGAGCCTCTTCCCACTTGTACCAGGTTTATACTGGTGCAATTCCTTCGACTAAGTGGAGGTATTCTTGATTTACCCTGCTGCAAATCTGAGGCAAACCAGAGCAAACTTATTGGAGGAGATGGAAAGAAATACGTATTGACATCACTGACCTTTGGGGTCATTCCCAGTGTCTCCTCCCACTTACTACAAACACTCATGGCTTGACTAATGGGAAGCTGGAGTAGTCAAGGTGCCATATGATAGAGATAAGGGCTCCGCAGACCTTTTCCATCCCGTCTGTGAGCCGGCCCAGAATTGATGAAGTGCTCCTTTTCCAACTGCATCCAAAATGAACAGCAGCTCTTGCTACACCCATGATCGCCTGATCTAGGGGCTGTGCAATGTGAGTGCCGAAGCTGCCACCGCCGCCGCTGCGCTGGTCTGACATCATCGTGTTGCTTGCTCCTCCCTCCTCTCAATGCTAAACGCTTTGTGCCCCTCTCCCCTCCTTTCCCCCCGGCCACCTTTATTGCCCTGCAGCAGCCGGGGGATGACATCCAAAACTCTGTCAGCCGCAGAGCTCTGACTCCCTGAAATTATAGGCGATGGGTTGAGACGGGATTGAGGCCTGCTTAGTGTTACCTCCCTGTCATTCCACATTTGGCCTTGGGCTGCTTTATTACAACGTGGATGCATGCTGACAAATTCTGCTATGTTTTGCTTTGCCCTCCTCCCTTCCCATCTCCCCCTGCAACAATAAAATTATCCAGGCTGCTGACACATTTCATTATCCAAAGCCCTGTCCAGAGCACGGGGAGGCGGCGGGGCTGCGTGCACGCGTGCGTGCGTGCGTTGTGTGAAAAGCATCCCAGTGCACTCGCAGCAAAAGTCTGCATCACGTTGCAAAAGAGAGGAGGGGGGAACTCAGAGGAATACCCAGCCGTGAGCCGCCCTGAAGCAAGCCTTGAGTTCATTTCAGTTTGGATCTGCTTCTTGCTTTTTCATTCGTGTGTGTGTGTGTGTGTGTGTGTGTGTGTGTGTGCGCGCGCGTATGCATGTGTGTGTATGCATATGCATGTGTTTCCATACTGATTTAGGGCTAATGGTGGCAGATGCCACATTAAATTATGGGCCTGATTCTCAGCTGGTGTAAAATCAACAGAGCCCTATGGAATGACACTGAAGGACAGTGCAACTCTTCTTTATCTAGACAATTGCTTAGTTCCCACCACTGCAGCTTTCCCCCACTGAAATCAATAGGGATTAGACATCTCCTAACAGGACCGCATGTCCTTATCTAGAAAATTGCTTAGATCCCATCACGGCAGCATCTTACCCCACTGAGATCAATAGGGATTTAGGTATCTCTCAGCCGGAATG